ACGTTCATCTTCCTTTATGTTATGGTTATGTTATTTCAAATGCTACATGAATGCATTAGGTTATGAATAATGGTTATGCTTGAATGTGATTGATGATGAGAATTGGCTTATGATGATTGGTATGTCAATGATGGTCGTGTTGATTTATATTGGATTGATGTTATCTATGCTCGTTATATCGCCCAATTTTGTATTGATTCTTATGACTTGGTTACATAACCATTCTAAGTAAGCATTCATGAATTCATATGGCTTGTTGGTTCATAGCAAATTGTATACACGTGCTTAGCTCATGAATAATTTTTTAAGTCATGAAAATATATTTTATATCATGGTTATCCGATAGCAATTGGAATGATTTTAAAGGAAAAGATTTATATGAATTTGAGGTTTTAAGGAAAGGACTTCACGGGTTTTCCATATAGTGATGGTAATGGTTCGGTGGCGGCAAGTGCGGACGTGCACTTTTAGAGGTTCGGTATGGCGCATCCGTAGACGGTCCGGTTCACCTGGACATACATTATGGAAACCCCGAAGCACCTAAATGGGATATGTGCACGGATAAAAAAAGGATTTTCGGATTGTTTTATGTTTTATGACATGAGAAAAAAGGAAACTTACTTTGCATAAAGCAGTGTTGCATACCTATATGTACATGAACATGTATTGCATGCATCCATTAACTTACCGAGTTATCACTCATCTAGTTTCTTATGGTGTAGATAAGTAAACCACTATGGCGTACTTCTGCGTGAGCCGATCAACGAAGGAGGCACTCGACGTGTGTATCTTGGATGGAGTTTCGATTTTCGGGTAGACCCACTCGTATGCTATTTTTAATCATATTACGATTTATAGTTCTATATGTACTTGATATAGTCGGCCTATCCTATACAATAGTAAAGGCTATGAAACGATAAGCGATATGACTCGCTAATGGTGTGAAAGTAAATAAACCAATTTTGTAGTAATTGGCATAAAAATAGGCTTTTATGTAAATAATCGAGGTGTGTAATCGAACCGAGTAATAACGAAATGATGCGGTAGTAATTATTCCGTAATTATTATAAATAAATAGTAACGAATAATTTAGTAAGTGAATTACATTGATGACTACCTAACAAAGCGAGCTCGATTAACTTGTTTCCATATTAATTACATGAATTATGAGTTCAAAATCATTTTTCCCCAAATTTGGGTCACCAAGAACCCTAACCTTAATTTTTTTTCTCTAATTTAGCAATTAAGGCAAATTCAAGTAATTAAACATGAAATTGACTTGAAATTAAATATTCTTGTAGTGTAGGTGAGATTAACTTACCTAAATATGCTCTAATTAAACTTCAAAAGGTGAAGAATTCAAAAATTTCTCCTTCTTCCTTCTTCCTCAAAATTTGGCCTAGCCTCCCTTTTTCTCCTTTGATTTTTTCTTAAGTTCTTAGCTTGATATCCTTACTTAGTATGTTGATTTAAGGTGTGTAGGAGTGATTTTAGTAAGTTTTTTGTGAGTCTTTGGTGTGATTTTCCTAGGGAAATTTTGCAAGAGTTTCCTTTAGGTTTTATGATTTTTATGACATTTTCATCCTTGTCTATTTATAGGAATTTTTTTTTTTGAAGACTTTTGACTCCATCTCAACCATTGAAATTATGGTTTTTTGGAGTGATCTTGGCCATTGAATTTTGGTTAAAGCTTATCCCTCCAAATTGGACAATTTTAGGCCTTTAATTTTTCTTTAAACTAAATCCCTCCACCTTACATGCCTAATAGCCTTTCTTTTTTATTTAATTCAAATTTCATTAATTGTGGCTCAATCATGGAGCCAAACTTCGGCTAGAGCATGAAGAAAAGCCTAAAAAAAATTCTTTAATTTTGGTCCCTCATTTCTTAATCTTTTTCCTTAATTACTCCTTTCACCATCCTTCAATTTGTCAACCGATCACTTCAATCCCTTCCTTAAAATACATTTTAACAACTTTTAAACTTCTTAGATTTATAGCTAATTTAATTTAGAAATTCAAACTTTAAATTTTATGCAATGTAGTCTCTAATTTCTATACAATTAGCCCCTTAACTCTAAAGTTTTATTTTATACTTTTTTTAAAATTTAATTTCTTTCCATAATAAATTGAAACATTTATTAAGAGTATTCAATCTAAATTTTCATAATTTTTGGACCTCATATAGGCCTCTAAATGAATTATTTAGTGTGAAAATTAGACTATTTCTTATAGAAATATTCCTTGCACTCGATAAAATTAATGTAAATTTATTAAGTATTCCTACACATTCCCTAGGATTTTCCTATGCCCTTAAAAAAATTCCTCATACTTCTAAGTCACCTAATTTAATTTTTTTTATCTCTAAAAACATTATTCCTACACTTACAAAATTCAATGAAATATTCACCATATGTAGAAAAATTCATAAAATCATATGAAATAATCTAACACCCTTCTAATAATTATTCTAAACAAAAAATATATTTTTCATACACCAACAACATGCTTTAATTAATTTTCTCATGCAATAACTACTATTCATGTACCTAAAAATCACTAAAATATTCTTTAAGCATGGAAAAACTATTTTGACCCTTCTAAATATTCTTTGAAATTATAGTAATTATTTCTCTTTCTTATATATATATATATATATATATATATATATATATATATATATATATATATATATATATATATATATATATATATATATATATATATATATATATATATATTCACATGATTTTAATATTAAAATTTTATTATATTTCTATTTTAACGAGTACCGGGCATTACATATCAGCCATATATACTATTTTGACAAAATTGTTAGATTTGTTGCTTAGCAAATAGTCATAATAAGGCGAGCTTGAAGGTGTTTATAAATAGCGTAACCGAGTCTCTCTCCGGCAATGGAGGTCGGATTCTTGGAGACGACTCGCCACCTCCGAGCATACTCTCGATAGACTCTTTAGTACCCTTCTTCATTAACGACAACCTAGATCTATTCGGAGTTATCTCTAGGTTGAACTTATACTCGCCTCTTGAAAGCCTCAATCAAATCTATCCACTTCTTAATCTTAGTTTGGTCTAAGTCGATAAACCGAGTGAGAGCGGACCCTCTAAACTTTAAAAAAAAATGGATTAATAAAGTTTTATTGTTAGCTACTTTAGCCATCTTGTTCAAGTATGTCCTCAAGTGGGCCTTGGGCACTAGCTCCTAATATACTTAGGGAACTCCAGCGAGTCTAAATTTTTTTAAGATCACCACATTTGACACGAAGCATTTCTCCATTATCAAAAAAGGGTCATATACATCTACACCCTCAACGGCCCAAAGCTCGCTCTTCAATAGTATTGAATTTTTTAATCTCAAATTTAGTAAACATCTTCTCCTTCCCACAATCATCATTCATTAGATCAATATACAATTGAGGTAGAGGAACGAGGAGTTTTTAGAGAGATTGGCTCGGACATGTCTTCCGACATCGATGCATCGACCAAATTATTAGTGGTAGGGTTCCTTTATTAAGGCATGGAAAACTCGAACAATCTAAGGTGTTTGTTCAAAAGCGAGTGGAGGGATGGTAAATGCGACTTCGGGGAGACAACAAATTATTAGCCTATATTCGAGTTGAGAGGCGACATGAGATCGATTCGTGCTTGAATGCTCTATTTGAATAGCGCGAGTGAGCCTTTCAACTTCTTCCTTCAATGTTGCTATCTCTTATTGATAAGCTCGCTCTAATTGAGCTCTTTCTTTGTTTTTCATTTTTACTCTCGGTCTAGTCTTGTAAACTACTAGAGGAAGTGTGGTTGTACTAGCAAGACCTAGTTTGTATACAAAAAAAAGCAAAAAAATACAACACATGAATAACATAATAATATATAAAACATTTGAGACTAGATATAGAGTAGCCATCCGTAAGAGGTAACAAAAGAAGTCGATCGTTGACTCTTCGATCCTCTTAATTTTAGGAATGAATTTAAATTCATCGGTAACTTTTAGAGATTGTCTTGATAAATGATGATGTTGATTGCTCGATCCATTTAACTTTAAAGATGAATTCAAATTAAACTTTTATGGATTCTAGAAAAAGGATTGCCTTGATCAATGATGGCATTACATTATGTTGGTTAGGTTTGAATGACGAAGATGTCCAACACATTTCTTTTTTTAGATTGTCGGTGTCGCTTGTGTTTTGGAGAGTGAAAGTGAACAACCCTACCAGCTTTTATATTAACAACATCATTCTCAAAATTTCCTATTCGAGCCATCAAAGTATCTTAAATTCTCTCAATAAAGATGAGATTCTTCTTTATAAATAAAAGAAAGATGTCGAAGCTTTCATTACCCGAGTATTTAAAATGAGGAGTACGAGGGCTCATATTAGTTCAAGATACATCTTTCTTCTTCATAACAAAAGAAAAAAAAACTCATACAACGAAAGATGAAATATAAGTAAAAAGAGCAAATTGCTCGATAAGTACAATCAAACTCCGAAGATCTTGCTTCTTTTAGCCATTTAAGACAGGTAAATAGTCATACCTCCTTAGGTAGCTACTCACGGATTCATTATAATTTTTCACCCTATGCTCACCGACGGCCGAGCTTAACTATCATAGCGCTATAGCTTCCTTGGAGACCTTCTTTGCTTGATTATATAGCACGACTAAGTTTTTACCTCGTTTAGTACCGACTTGAGCCAAATGGTTGTGTATGATGGCCTAGTATGAGGATAACTTAAGTAACTCTCCTTTCGGATGTCAATTCTCTTTCTTGAGTGCTTGTGATCCGACTTTATACCTCTCCTATTTGCTCAATTGAATCTCATCAATGGATGTATTTGTGCCTAGAAACAATTGTCATTTCATATTATCTTCTATAAGCCTTTGTATTTCGATCCTAAACTTTTTAACTTATGTTCAACTCATCTATCTTGTTATTGCGGCTTGTCCAACTAAGCACATTTGGTCTATAGTTCTACTTGAGCTAGATGACGGATCGATTTCCAATATTCCTCTTCGGCGGCTATACTGCGCAAGTCTCCAAATCTTGCTCTAAATCTAGTATCTTTTCTTTATCTTTTTCTCTCGTTCGTTTTTATTTGGCCAAATCACTTATCGACTTCGGTTCTCAATTTTGAGCCTCTTGATTTGTTTGATAAGGTCTTGATGGTCCGAGGGAATTAATTATAGGGAATCATTTATTATTCTCTTTTTTTCTTTAGACTGGTCGGGTACAACACTTAGAGCTCGTGGCATGATCAACTCACTCCTCGGGCGAGGTTGGCTTGGACATCCCTCCCTTACGGCTTGGTCAAAGTTAGTTAGATGGTGGCGTCTTTCACCCCGTTTACTTTCCACATAGGGTATTTCTCGGTTATTGCTAATTTGTGATCAACTATTCCTCCATCCACTATTCATAGAGTTGACCAATCTTGCAAAACCTGTTTGAGGAGCTTAGGAGTGGCATCATTCTCAAGCTTTTCTTTAAATCTGTTTAGGTCAATGGTTCTAGGTACAATATGTTCATAGCTAAATTGTCTTGATACCATGGAGAGAGTGTAACAAGTATATCCAATTGCTCCTATTAGAAAGACCCATGGTCGTTCTCCACGATAAACTAGGTATGGTCTTCGATTCATCCAAACTGTCTTTCATAGGAAACCTCCACTTGATAAAATTAGGAATGACGAAAACCACTTTGTTCGGACTTGTTCTTTCATATACTAGCCAATAACTCCTTCAATGGTTCTTGATCAGTCCACCAACATGTCTTAAAAGCTGATTTATAGGCTTTGATATGGTCGATTACCCACACAAAAAGTAACTAAACATAACATCTCATATTCCCTTTTCCAAACCTTTTATAGTGACTTAATGAAGAGAATGTTTCAGCTAAAATGACAGCAGTAGGATTTATGGAATGCTTCTCTACCTCGATGAAGACGTTGGTAGTATCTAGATTGATTAAACTGGTCGATGAGGAGAAAAACACTAACCCAAAGATCATCAATGCTAGAATTTTGATCCTCTTAGAGGTAGATCCTGCAGCTTTTGTTTAAACATATCCAACTAGCTCTCAAAATGCCAACCTTCGACATTCCCCTTAGCCTTATCATGAATCATGTTTATGTTTAACCAATCCTCTATCTTTTTTTCGATATTTGATCATCTTCGGTACGGATAGACTCGATACGAGTGCTTGGCATGTTTAAAAGTCGATGGTACTCCTCTAAGATCGATGTTATATCTAGTTCTCCTATAATGAAACATTTGTATGAAGGATTTCATAAGCGAGCCAAAGCCTTAAGAGTAGGCTTCTAAACTAGTACCTCTAAGTAGTATCGTAAAATTCTCATATTTGACTCGGAACCTATACTCGATCATTAGGACTCAACATCCTCCAACGATCAAATAGCTTTTGAGTGTCATTGATCATTGATCTGGAAGCGTGTGATCTCCCTATGGTTGTTCTAATAGTCAAGCCCTAGGCAATCCCCCTTTGTTTACCGCAAAGCCTCGAACTTTTATTGAGTTTAGCCACATAGTGGGTTTGGACCTTAGTTCTCTTGTCATCTATCCCGAAACATTCATGATCGGATTTTTTGGTTAAGGTTTCGATATTTCCAACTTGCCTAGTGAATTTACATAGGAAAGGTGATCCTAGAATTCGGTTCTAGCCATTACATGATTTGGTAGGATCCGTCTAACTCTTAATAGGGTCCCTTTTAGCTCGAGAGAATGAAGGCCGACCAAGTGTGAAGTGGTAATCGTAGGGACCATCAATTACCTATCACGATAATGGCGAGCTTTCCAAAAGAGTTGAGGTTTCGTAAGTGTTACTCGTGGTAAAACCCATCGAGGCATCGGTAACTCCTCCCTAGATCCTAAGACAAATACATATGACATTTAAAATTATGCGGTGTAGTGTGTGAGGGCACAACTCCATATCCGAGTCTCAAAATACAAAATAAAGGCTAAAAATTAAAATGACTAAAGCTATATAGAAGAACAACATAAATAACACATATGAGTACATATATATTTTCACCATACGATAAGAAAACAAAAAAAAAGTAATTACTCATGTAAACAAATAGGCGTAGAGGCACAACAAACAACCAAAGATTAAAAATATAGAAATTCAAAGCTTGACCTTAGCATGACATTATCCCTAGTAGAGTCGCCAATTCTATCGAGGTCGACCACCACGAGAGAGGCCAAAACATGAAGTTACCACCTAGCTAATCGGGAAAAACTAAAAAACCCTATACATATTGGTCTACATGGATATCTAAGTAAGGGGTTGATTACGTATGGAAAAGATGTGACATCACCACCATTCGATCTTACCTAAGATAGCATGCATTGTTTGGCTATGAATATCAAATCTAGTTTTTATCGTGTTAGGCTTCTATGCCTATTTAAATGAGTTTATTTGGTAAAAGTATGGAGCGAGGATGGTTCGGGTGTAAAACATGATAGTTTGGGAGTTCAAGTCGTTCTAAGACTAATACTCTTTACCCAAAGGGTAAAGGTGAGGGAATTTAGAATTTTGGCTAATTATTAGTGAACATGACCTATTATCGATAAATAGATGAGTTTCTAAAGATAAATAACCTTTTATTGACATGAGTAGTGAGTCATCGATAACTTTGCTCACATAAGTGGGAAGCCACCGATGACTTCGAGTCATGAGTTTGAAGCTAACGATAACCTTGTGACACAAGTTAAAAGTTACCGATCACTTTATTTAGCTTGAACAGGGAGCGAGATAACTATTTAAAATCCACCGACAGACTTCATCATATAAGTGAAAAGCCACTAGTGGCTTCATTTCGATGAAATAAGCAATGAAACCAAAAAAACAAAAAACAAGAAATAAAGAAATAGAAAACACTATCGAAAAAGCAAGAATCGGATAAAATGATTTCAAAACCACCAATGGCTTCGTCACATAAGTGGGAAGTCATCGGTAGCTTTATTGTTTCATTACAACTAATAATAAAAAAATCAATTAGACTATAAAATAGCACAAACTTCACATTTAAACAAATAAGCATAAAAAATAAGAAAATAACATAATTTGTCTTTTAGTATCCATTACATCAATGCTTATTTCAACCATATTTAGGCTATGGATATTTAAACAAAATGCGATAATTTCATTCACACAATAAACAATCCAATCATTTTTAATCATCCATTTTTTTTTAGAAAAAAATGCAATGGTTTTAGAGTTTTACCCAAAAGCTCGAAATTTTGATATCCAAAACAAAGTCAGCTTTATTCTCTTCGATCCCTATGAAAATTGATTATACAATTAGCCAAGAAAGGAGAGCAAATGTCAAAAAGTTCCTTCGTTACTTATGCAACCACTCCAAATGTTCGCTGTAAAATTTACAACATTCTTGAAACTTTAAAAGAGTTTCTTGAAAACTCAAAATGACTTTCGTTCGTTGTATTTTTCTATAAAAAAATTTAAAAAATATAGTCTATAACATCATATTATTGCTACCAACATAATCCAATACAAAAAAAAGGCTTTCTTTTTAGTTTTGAGGGAGGTTTTATGGTTGTTTTTGGTTGGTATTTTGGGGGTGTTTTAGGGCTATTTTAAAGCTAGTTTGGAGGTCTTTTAGGGCTATTTTGGTGGTTTAAAGAGCTTTTCCGAAGGGGTTTCTATAATCTGTTTTGGGGGTTATTGGTAATGATTGTAGGGTTGAAAATGGTGCTATTGGTGGCTATTTTGGGCCTGGTTTTTGGGTAGGTTTTGGTCTATTTTGGGGCTTTGTTTTTTGGGGTATTTTGGGGCTTTGATGTGGGTTAGAATAGGGGTTATTTTTTTGAGTTTAGGGGTTAAAGTTTGGGTGAGAAAAAGGCTGGCCAAAATGTGGGTTTTTCGTGGCTTTTAAGAAGGTTAGTTGGTGTTTTTCGAGCCATTTTGTTTTTTGTGATTTGGTTGTTATTTGAAGGGATGGAATGGTTGCTTTATGGGCTAATTTTGGAGTATTTTGGAGAGTATTTAAGGTCTAGAATGAGGCTTTAAAGGAGGCTAAAGTGGGGCTTTAAAGAAGGATGAAGTGGGGGCTGTTGCTTGTGGGTTGCTACCTGTGTTGAGTGGGTTGGCTGGTCGGGTAGCAAGGTGTAGTCGTATGGGCGTGAGGCAAAGATAGGAACTGTGGGTTGTGGGGTATGGCAAGCTGGTAAGAGGGTGTGACTTGTATGTGTGTGAGGGGCGATGGATCGGTTAAGTGAGGAAGCGGACGAGAGGGAGAGCTTGTTATTATTGTGGGAGAGAGTTTTGAGTGAAGGAGTGTGTGTAGAGAGAGGGTTGTAATCGTGTTGGGCGAGCTTGGTGATGTCGTGAGAGAAGTGCAGCTTGTGGGTGAAGGTGTGTGGTTAGTGTGGAGTAGGAGATGTGGGATTGGGAGGCGAGTGGAGTGGGTAAGAGTTGGAGTGGAGCCGCTGGCTTATGTGTAAAGATAAGGACGAGGCTGGTGCATGGCTAGTGAGGGAGAGTTATAGGTGTGCTAGGCGGTGCTCTATGTGTGTGTGTGATATGGGGCGGTAGGCTAGAGAGGGCCGGCTTAGTGCTTGGAGAGAGTTGGAGAGGGTTGTGTGTGGGCTGTCGGTGAGAGAGGGAGTAGTGAGTGTGAGAGAGAGAGCTTCGATATGGTGGGTATGACGATCGTCGGCTTTTTACTCTTCCCTTTAGGTGATAATCAATAGTGTTTTTAATACCAACAAATACATGGATGCTTTCATAGCTAGGTTTTTTTAGGCAAAAATCCAATTTGGTCCTTTTTTTCTTCCATGCATTTATTTTGATTCAATTTTTTTTTTAATTTAAGCCACCCATTTCTAATAATTGAAACTTTTATTTTATTTAGTTCCAATTGTACCCCTCCTTATTTTAACTAAAGGATTTAAAGCTTTGACTTTTTTTCGATTAAACCCTCAATTGTCTCTCTTTTTTTCATTTTTTCAATTAGCCTTCTCTTTTTTTTTTAAGAATTAATCTAAACTAAATATCCTAACTACTCTCTCTTTTTCTTTTTTCTTTTTCTCTTTTTTTTTTTGCATTTTTTTATTATTATTTTTGTGTGTGTTTTGTAATAGTGAAAAAAATAAAATAAAAGGGCAACAAAAATTGGGTGCTAACGAAGTTAGATAAAAAATAAAAATTACTATTTTCTTTATAATTGATACTAAACATTCTTTTAATGCATTATTAAGAAAGGATTGGATTTACTTGAATTTGTGTGTGCCTTCATCTCTCCATCAAAAACTTATTTCTTAGAATTCTAAATCTTTTGAGATTGTTCATACGGATGTTGATCAAATACGGGTTCGGTGCAATATCATAGAGATTGGTGTTTTTTGTGAGGAACTAGTTTCTTTTTCATGAATAGATAATTGCTTCTAACAGGAAACTACACCCATCATCAAGGAGCTTGTTACACCTAAGGTCAATGTGATCACTTTCATTGTCACTCGAAAAGCACCAAAAGGATAAGAAGTCGAAGAAATCAAAGGGTAAAATCAAAATGATCAATCTTCAAACTCTATAAAAGTCGATGAAGTTATAATCGAAGATGGTCTTGATAGAGAAGAAAAGGTTCAGTAGATCAAAAAGAAGGATAAGGAATCAAAGAAAAAAATAGTACAAGATATGTTGGCGAGTATCCCAAGCTATAAAAAAGACTCACATTTGAATGATGAGTCGAGATAAAGTTATAACGAGATGGTTTGGAGGCAATTCAAGCTACCACCTATTGTTTGAGCATTGATGAAAAAGAGAGAAAGGTTATCCAAGAAGAGAAAATAGTCAATCTCATTATGTTAGATTGCATTTGTGAAGAAGAACTCGATAGGAATCACAAAAGCAATCTAATAGATATATCGATGGCATAACAAAATGATATGCCAAGATCAAGTACTCAAGAGCCGCTCGAAGAGGTTAATCTAGGAATAAAAGAAGAGCTAAGGTTTACTTTTATTCGTAAGTTGTTAGGTCTTAATTTTAAATAGAAAGTGATTTCTTTATTAAAGTATAAAAGCTGCTTTGCTTGGGAGTATCATGAAATGCTTAAGTTAGATAGGAATTTAGTGGAATACCGATCGCTAATAAAAAATAATATCACCTAGTGAAACAAACTCCAAGAAGGATGGTTAGAGAAGTAATCGATCTAGTTAAATAAGAAATCAAGAAATTACTCTAAGTCGGCTTCATTAGAACTTCAAGATACATCGAATGGGTCTCAAATATTGTTCCAATTATGAAAAAGAATGGAAAAATTAGAGTATATATACATTTTAGAGATCTTAATTGAAGTACTCCTAAAGATGAATATCCAATGCCATTGTAGATATGTTAATATATGGTACTTATAGAGATCTTTTCATTTATGGATGAATTTTCTAGTTATAACCAGATCCGTATGTTTAAAGATGATGTGCATAAAATAACATCTTGATTTTCAAGCTCTTTAGGGACCTATGAATGAGTTGTAATGCTTTCCGGACTAAAGAATACCGATGCAACGTATCAATGAGTAATGAATGCCATTTTTTCATGATTTAATTGGTAAAAAGATCAAAGTTTATATCGATGATATAGTTGTTAAGTCTATAAGCCAATTATCATACCTCATCGATTTTAAAAAAATCTTTCTAATATACAAGGAAACATATATTAAAATTAAATCCATTAAAGTGTGCTTTTGGTGTGAATGTAGGAAACGTTTTAGGTTTTTTATTTTATAACCGAGCTATTGAGATTGATGAAAATAAAGCTAAAGCCATTCTTGAAGCTAAGCCACCAAAAATAAAGAAACAACTATAAAGTTTTCTTATATAATTAAATTACTTATATTGATTCATCTTAAATGCTACTTGGGAAACTAAAAAAAATTTCACCTCTAGTGAAGTTGAAGGATTCGAAGCCTTTATATGGAATAAAGATCTTTAACAAGCTTTTGATGCAATCAAAGATTACTTATCAAGACCACCCTTTTTTCTTGCCTCAAAACCTAAAAAACCTCTTAAGTTGTAAATTGCATTAAGTGAGGATTTGATTGGTTGTTTCTTAGCCTAAGAAAATAGTGAAGGCAACAAGTAGGCCATTTTTTATTTAAGCAAGATTTTTAATATTATGGAATATAGATATCTAAGTATCGAAAAACTTTATTTGGCATTGTACTTTATAGCAATAAATTTAAAACATTATTTGCTTGCTTATACCGTTAAAGTTATAACACAAACTAATGTCCTTTAGTGCTCGCTCTCTAGCTTACTCTTAAAAGAGCGAATCGGTAAATAGAGCCTTGCTCTAATTTAGTTTGATTTGTTGTATGTACCTCAATAATCTATCAAAGGACAAGGTTTGGCAAACTTTTTAGTTGATCATCCTAATATTGATGCAAAACGTCTAGTCAAAATCGTCTACTTAAGGGTGGTTCCATGAAAGTTATTTTTCGATGGATCTAGTTCCAAGAATGGTCAAGGAATTGGAGATGTACTTCTATTGCTCGATGGAATTCGAACACATTTAGTCCATTGATTGGAAGAGCCATGTACTCACAATCATGCTTAATATGAAGCTTTGACAATTGGACTTGAGTCGATCCTAAGCCAAAGAGAAATAGTCATCGAAATATATGAAGATTCTCAATTAGTAATCAATTAGGTACTAGGTTATGCCAAATGTAACAACAACATTTTGGAGCATTTCTTGAAGAAAGTTAAAGGTTTTTTAGGACATATCAAAGTGCTCAAAATTGAGCACATCATTCAATAAGGGAATTAATTAGCCAATGAATTGGCTTAAATGTCTACCGGTTATCAAATTCCTTTTATCAATTTCAAGGATTTAATCACTCTTGAAGATAAAATTCTTTCATATAAAGAAATAGTGAAAGTTGGTATAATTTTTATTCTTCGATCGATTTTTTATTAAAGAGATGAAATCATTCAAGCCTTAACAAATCCGAAGTTAGTGAGTCATAATTCTCATATGAAACATTTAATGAGGAATTATGTACTTCAAGAAGATGTTTTGTTTAGGAAAAGTGTTGATGAAATCCTACTTTGGTGTGTCAATACAAATGAAGCCTTAAGAATAATGGTAGAAACTCATTTTGAACTTTACGGATTACATCGAGTAAGGATAAAATGAGTTGGGTAATTCAACTTTTCGCCATTGATGAGGAAATATTATATTGAAATGGTGAAAGGATATAATGCATGTAAAAAACATGGTAATATTCCTAGAGTACCTACATCTAAGCTACATTCAATAGTTAAACCACGACCATTTTAAGGATGGACAATGGATTTAATTACGTAAATCAATCCATCATCGAGTATCTCATTCGTATATTATAGTCACCACTAACTATTTTACTAAATGGGCGAAGCGAAGCCTATATGATTAGTTAATCGAGTGATTTTATTCATTTCGTTTAAGAAAATATCATTTACAAATTTGGCTTACCACAAACAAATGCTATCCGTCGACCCTAGTTTTTAATGGAGCAAAAATCCAAGAGTTCGCAAGTGAATTTGGCTTCGACATAATCAATTCAATGCCATATTATGTTAAAGCTAATGGACAAGAAAAAGTATCAAATAAAATTATTAAAGGGAACATCTAGAAGATGGTTGCCAACAATCGTTAAAATTGGCATGAGTTATTACGAAACACTCCATTGACTCATCGAGTTGGTTTTAAATAGAGTATTGAAACAAGTCCATATCGACTAACTTATGGACATGATGTAGTATTACCATTCAAGATTGTAGCTCAATCTTTGAGAGTAGCAAGACAATGAGATGTCGGGAATAGATTACACGGATGTCATGTTTGTTGAAATAGAATCTCTTGATTTAGAAATAATCGAGATACTTAATAGGATTCATAATCAAAAACGAGAGAATGACACAAACTTATAATTGAAAGTTTGAAAGCAAAAGCTTTTTTATTAGAAATTTAGTTTGTAAAGTTATACTTTCAATTAGGAAAAAAAATATCTTATTGGCAAATGGTCCCCTAATTTGAGAGGTCCTTTTTCATATTAAAGAATTTTTTTTGCTAGGAATGCCTATAAGCTAGAAAGCCTATAAAGAGTTAAATATAATAAAGGTATTATTGCTAAGTATTTAAAGTTGTATATTTCTTCAATTTGGGAAACCGAGTGAAGAAGTTTTAGAATCTCGATCTAAAATTATGACGAATGTATAAAAAGTCTCAAGATTGAGTTTAAAACTAAACATGACTAAGTAGTTTAAAGATGATGTAAAAATACTTCTTTATTTTAATAAATTAGAGTTTTTAGAATAAAATTACTTCTTAGGTATCCTATTCTTAGGAATATCTAAGAAGTTTAAAAGTGTTTTAACAAGGTTTGATCAATTATATCCTTGTTGATGAGCAAAATTGAAGCTCCGCAATCTAATTAAATCATTATTAACTTGA